CCTTTCTATAACATCAAGAAATGGTTAGATATTCTAGTCTTCTCGGATAGGGACGAATAAATGGAGGTCCCGTCTCCTGCAGGGTTGGGGTAGGAGACGTTAATTTCCCACACACGAGATTACTGTGTGATGGATGTCCTCCCCTGGGGTGGGATGGGTGGGTTTATTGGGCCCGCAGTAATCGGCGCAAGCTGTTGCGGTGTCCCTGCCGGTTGGCGAAGCTAAATCAAATCAAATCAAATCAAATAAAATCAAGCTAAGCAGGCTCCCGGACGACAATGTGAAGTAATTCTCTTAGCCTAATAATCAATCACGCTTTGCGATTGCAAGGCATTATTGTTGTCTAATCAAGCACAACATCGGCCATGACGGAAGTACCTTTAGTTGCAACACAAATCGATTCTCTTAAACATCTTGACTCTGAACAAATATATTTTCAAGTAAATTGAGCTATAAAGGGTTGTTGCGAGAACCGATCGAGCGGCGAGCTCTTTCAGCCCTTTTTCAATGGACGATTTGTGAATGAAACATTAACTACAGAGAAAATGGTAAGATTCAAATATACTCGAGGCTTACACAATGGCAAGATAACTTCTTGCATTGTTTACATTCTTATTAACTATGGCGGAAATACTTAATAGACGCAAACAGGAAAATTCCCAGATGTATTTGACACCTGAGCTGTAAATTCCTTTGCCTCATTTAAAATGATTCAGTGGCAACATTTCTCTAGCAATGGACAGTTAGATCTTCATTGCATATCGTTTCAATTATTTAAAGTATGATTGCTGATTGTAACCAAGCGCCCAATATTTCGACAGGTTCTATTGTTTTTATATTTAAACGAATTTGATAATGACGGGATCAGTAATACATCAGTCGCTGCTGAATGACCGATTGTCCTGATTGAGGTAATTTTTTTAATCCAAACGGCATGAATAACATATAAAATCACGCAATCGGCTTTCCACAGTCGCATTATTTGTTGTGAATTTAGGTACTTGTAAATAAATCCCTGATATGTTTACTCTAACATTTCAGCGACTCTTTCTTTGTTAGAAAATCATTGATCATAGTAAAAACTTGTATTTGTTAGCGTTCGATGAATAAAATTTCAGAGTATAGGTGATCAAGCACTGACGAACTTAGTCTTTCGGTCTTGTTTCGAAATTATCCTTCAGTTTCGGTGAATCGATAAGTTTAAAAGTGTGTATCGGTACTTGTGCATGCACCTCGAACGGGTAGTAAATTTTGACATGCCAATTTTCGGTTACCTTTTCCAATTATTTGCAGAATCATCCAGCTGAGTGAAATCGTTTACCCCTCTGGAAGTAATCGAACTTTCTCGAACACTTTATTCGGTCCGTTAAGAATTCTTCTAAGCATTCTTTCATTGAGTTAAACGTACCTTAGGAACCACTGACCTCTGCGAATCAACTCAACGGCCTGCTCCCAGTTGGCTTGTTAGCTCAATTGGTAGAGCACTTCACTAATATCGCAGAGGCCAGTGGTTCGAATTCCGTACAGGCCTGATTTTTTTCAGGTCTGATTTTCGCTATTGCATAAACAGCGCTCTCTACTGCGAGGATCGTGCATCATACGTATCTAATACCGCAATTCAAAATATATGAACTTCATATATTCATTGTATCTAATTTTGCATATTTTTGAATTGATGTTATTGGCTTTAAGTCTCAACTGGCATATTTTCGGTCTTAACCGAACTGATCAATTACGACCGAGTTACACCACTTGAGTCATCACTACCGACAACAGTCTTTCTCAGAACCACCCTCAGCAGGACGATCAGACTACACGATTAAGTGTTTATGACACATTATAGATCTCTCGAATTATTGCTCTTACGCTGCATGAGAAGGATAATTGCTGTCTGCGGTGGATGTTTCTGACTCTAATGGCTAGATTAGATTTGATAAGAGAGACCGTCTGTTCATCGAACCGTATAGATTTGCATTTTAGACTCAAACTACGCCATGACTGACAAAGTTAATCAACTTTCAAAATGATTATGACGGTTAGGGATCACGATTTAAGGACTTCATCATTCGTTTTTGTTTATTCATTTATAGATTTTGTCGCGCATAAGCCTTCCATTGCGTAGAGCTTCAAGAGTTGTCACCTTATTAAAGTTGTTCTGCATGGTTTTCAGATTATCAGTTGAGTCCCAAGAGAAGAGAGGCTGGAAATGGATAATGAATTTGTGTCGGTAAAGAATTCAAGAGTCATGTCATTGGAAAGAACGGGAGCGGGTTAAATACCATAAGACAGAGATCCGAAGCAAAACTTGTATCACGATATAGAGAAGAGGAAGGATTCATTGTTAGTGGAGATGACCATCAGAGAGAAACTGCTGAAAGGCTTTTTTTGGAAAAAGTGGTATGTTGATGTTTTACTCATAAACGGTGCAACAAATAAAATTCTGAATACCATACGTTTTAGTGACCTGCACCCTTTCATGATAAGATGATCAAAAGGTAATTACAGTGTTTTATACGTAGTAAAGACCACAGGAGTGAACATAACAAATGATAAGATCAGACGCCGAAGTTGGAATTGGATCGGACATATAATGAGGAAGAATAGAGAGGAGAACTGCGTTACAGCATTAGAATGGAGGCCAGAAGGGAGAAGGAGACCAGGGCGACCAAAAACAACACGGAGGAGAATGATTGAAAACGAAAGACAAATAGCTGGGTGGCAATCATGGACGACTGTTAGAACTTTAGCAACAAACCGAAGGGGATGGAAAGAGATTGTCAAAGCCTTATGTGCCTTAGGGCACAAATAGATATAGAGATAGAGATACGTAGTAAAGTCGTTTTGTTTATTCGAACGCTACAGAGCGTCCCCGAATGCTATTTACTTTAGATCTATTTACATGCGAGCTGCAAGTCACCCCCTTTTTCTTCACAGGAGGAAATAGAGATGACTAAGTGGGAGGAAGTGGAGATTCTAACCGAATACAAAGGTTTGGTGATTGGAACGCACGGAGTTAATTTTCTCAAGATAAGCTAAGAAACAGGAGCAGTAGTAACCCGTAAAAGAAGAGAAGTATGTATTATTAAGGGAACCAAGGAACAAAGGGATCATGTAATATTGCTCATTAAACTCAAAGGAGTAGGTAGTTTAGATAAATTTTTATTTCACCTTACAGATATTTTTGCACGTGCTCAAGCTCAAAAGCATTCCAAATGTGGTTCCAATTATTACTCTCGATGATGCTTAAACCCAGAAAAGTTTCTAAAAATAAACAAGTGTACCCTTCTGAATTCTTGCACGTGCCCCACAAAACGACAGGTTGCAAGCAATAGCAACTTACAAATTGGCCCTTTCCCCGAAAAAATTGTTTTAAGCTTGACAACCTATAAAGGTGTTATTGTGAAGGAAGATGGAAGGGGATATTTCAGAAAGCTTCATCTTTTGCCAGTTAGGCTGCCTTCACACTTGGCGCTCGAGCACGGTAGCCGAGTACGATTCTTGATGGGCAGTAAGGATGCGCTCACACTTGCTGCCCAAGCATTAATGCCAGGGCACCAGCACAAAATGATGCTGTGTTCAGACACTGGGTACCGGATATATCAGTGCCTGGATACAAGGTGAAGACCTTATACTCGGGCACGGTGCCCGAATCCTGGCGGGGGTACTTGAAAAAAAGGTGTGTTCACACTAGTGTCCATCGTGAATCGTCCAAGCGTAAACGCAGCCTAATGTGAACACACCGTTTTTTGAAGTATCCACGCCAGAATTCGGGCACCGCGCCCGCGCCCGCGCCAGAGTACATTGTCTTGACCTGATAACCTGATATATCGGGTACCCAGTGTCTGAACACAGAATCATTTTGTGCATTAATGCTCGGGCACCAAATGTGAACGGCAGATTTAGATTGAAGAAAGATCCATATATTTATTTTAAAGCAGCTTTAATTGATGCTATAAAATTGGAAGGATGACTGTCTGAAAAATTATGTGTTGGTCTATATGTACAAACTATAACCCGAAAACTGATTTCTAGATACATGTTTAAATTTCTAAACTTCTATAATAAGCATTTTGCAAAAATGAATGTCAAGGTTTGAGAGGGAATTAAGGCAACATTCTGAGAATACCACCTCACATTAAATCTTATGCACGCATTGGATTTATTTGAAACACTTCTGATATTTGAAATTGCAACTGAAGAACAAATTAAATCGACTAAAAATACAACTGGCCGCACTTCAAACACAGAATTTTCGTAAACCTTACCTGCGAAGGCTGCATGTATCTTCTACTCTAATATATCATTAATTAAAACAGTTTAAGCCAAATTTGAAAATCATTGAAGCTTCTAAAATATTAACTTTAAGAGAAAATATTTACATAGACTGAGGAAAATATCGGGGATCTCCATCTGATGAGATGGAGATCTCAAGAGATCTCTAAAAGAGAGAATAAAAATTGTAGCTGCCTCTAAAATAGCAGACTGTCCAGGATTGCAGGCTGTTTAAAAACGAGCATGATAACTTGTCTACAATGATAAAAGCTCACTCAAATACACTATTCCGTCACATATGAATTGAATGTGTAACTGTAGTACTATATACGTGGGCCAGTATTCAAAGTAGACAGCGAGATACAAGGACGAATACTGAAAATGAAAGTTTAAGCGCGTTTACTTATCGCGTTCTTTCGCTGTCGCTGTATCACTTATATACAGGAATATCACGAACAACATTATAAGGATTTTAATCAGGGGGCTAGTGTTGACCACACGACAAATGCTGACCGCCAAACCTAAAGCTACATATCCCTGTATACTTGTGGTTTATCATATTCAGTAGACCTAAAAATCGAAGTGCTGCTGGAGAGGCGTTTCTGGACGAGATTTTTGACACAAAATTTCTCACCTGCTTCCCATTAGAAGGCAACATTTAATAGCCATACATACTTATATTACTCTCGTTTCGTCTTAATAACAGGAATCAAGTTGTAATGATAGCAGTGCTTGCGAGTTGAGACTGAAAGAAGATGCTATGTAATCTCTGAGCAGGATCAAAACGAAAAAGGGGTCGCAGGCGGACACGTGGTTTCATTTTGGAAAAGTAATTATTTGCGGACCTGATGAAGGTAAAGTTACTGATTATGATCTGTAGCAGGAGACTCTTACAGTTTTCTTTTTGAAGGTATTAGTTGACTCTTCGTTTTTTAAAGTACAAAAACAATTGTCATAAAATCAAATCTCCTAGCTTTGGTGATCACTTATCTAAATGATAATAAGCAAGATTAATGATCAAAATATACTGGAGACTCACAGGTAGCATTCTAATAGATAAGAACTGAAGTTGGCTCCGGCTAAACCTGCAGTACATGTGGTACTGACGTGAAACACTTGATTGCTTACAGAGGAGGTTTCAGGTGAAGAACAATGGAGCGTTGAACAAGCAACAAAAAAATTACAACCTCAGGAAGGACAGGATTACTGAAAAATCGCATTTAAAGGTGTTTAATGCAGATAGGCATGTCTTTGAGAGAAACTTTCGTTAGAAATACTCCAGAGAATTTCATGCAAGATATGACTTTACCTTCGTTGTATCCAGCGACATGAACTGAGGGGCAAGGTATGGAGAAGGGGTGCAGGGAGGAAATTTTAACCAGCTCAATACTTGATTTTACATCCCAGTTTTTTTTGTATTCTGGACCTAATGGTTGATTTTGCATCATTTCACGATTATATTTGTTTGGCTCAATTTAAGGTTTACGGAAAACTTTTCCAGTTTACATTAGTCTATATGTATTACAGTTTAGGCTCATTTCAAAATTTAAGAAACTATTTCCAAGCCTTAATCATGAAAGCGAGCATTTACATTTGTTTGATACTTTGTTTGAGATGGTAACCCAAAGCATGAATTATGAAATTTAAGATAAATTGAAGGATAACCTAGTATCTGCTGGTAAAAAAAAAGTGTTACTTGAGATCACTACTTCCTTGAGAAGTCGTAACGTGATTATTTTGTACAATAGACATGGGTACTGAACAAGGACTCTGACAATGCGGTCAAAGAGAAAGCAGTCCCATTTTGTGACGTCAGAAACATAATCGAAGAAGTTCACTTCGAAGATGAAAAAACACGCTTGCAGTGTCGAGGATAGGTGGTTCTTCCATCCCGTAGGTTTCTACAGGCTGAAATTTTGTTTCCTGGAAGCGAGCTTGACTGCAGAATAACTTTACGAGAACGAAGTGGTAAGTGCTATTTTAGTATTTCCTTGTATTAAATCAAAATTTGTTTTAGTGAAAAATATCCTAGTTCAAGTCGCCAAAATTTAGGGAATATACCATAAAATGCGTTTTTAAAAGCTGTGTCCGCCATGAAATATCCCATACCCATTAGGAATGCCATAGGTCATATCACGTGGTATTAACGTCATAAGGAAAATGTTCTATGTTCTCTACTAAATTTCAGTTTACTGGTACGTGTAACTTTGAACTCTCAAGGAGTTGAAATAAAATGAGCAAGTTGGCAATTTTGGCAGAGTTATCATCTAAAATGATTAATCAATAACAAAAAAAATAAATAAATAGACAAAGGGAGTAATGCATGAATACATATATCTTATTAACCAAGTGCGAGGGCCGTACTGGGAGAATACCACCCGAGGTCTTGACAGTACGGACCAAGCGCTGCGAGGTCCGTACAAATAAGACCGAGGGCCGATATTCTTCCAGTACGGTCCCGAGCAAGCTTGGCTAATAAGAGATTTATTATACGACTGAAGTTCAAAGGGATGGATACAAGTGCGGTATCATTCGAGACCATTCGGAACAGTGCCCGGTCCAAGTACTGAGAGAATATTGACTGGCAATAGAGCATTTTGATTGGTTGATTTTAGTTATTGGCCCTCTGACTGCCCGAGTCGTGTAATAAATGGTACTACACACCGAATCGAAATATGGTGTCCGACTGTAACTGCCGTTGTTCTCGACTTACTAGCCTCACACATGTGATAATCCTTTTGTGTTTTCCACGTGAAGACGAGGCTAGTAAGTCTAGAACGATGTAATTCAAATTGGACGCCATATTTCAATTCGGTGTCTAAACGTAAATAGTTTGAGCTACCATTTCCAAAATACAAATCATTTCAGATTTAGATAAAAGGTTGCTTTTCAGTCGATAATACACCAGTCTAAGTGTTGTTTCTTTAAAATTTTTCCAAACATATTACAATTATATTTTTTCTCATGGATGATGCCGTCTCTACCGATTATCCTGCAGATCTAGACGAAAACGAAAGACGAGCTCTGTTGTCATATCTGCCCAACATAAGTTTTACGTTCACTGAAGGCGATGCAGTGAATGGACCAAATCTCCCTGCCGAGGAATCTTTGTCGATGGAGTTATTTCTACGTCACAGACGATGTTCTCATCGAACTTTATTTGCACCAAAAGCTGGAGTTTTAGTTATCCTTTCTAGAGATATATCGTTTTCCAGCGATATAGAGGAAGAACAGAAAAGAGGGATGGTATTAAAACTATGATCATCATCACTATCGTGAATAACATCCTCGCGAATTGAATTAGACGCCCACAGTACTGTAATGAAATAAATACCCGCCCTCATGAGTTACCTGAAAAAAACAATACAATATTTAATCGTAATATCCATTTTGTTACTAGTGGCCAATCACGAAGAGTTTCGATTTTCCGTGTTTTGTTGAAAAAAATAAATAAATAGACAAATAAATATCTACTTTTCAGCATGTGAAGCTATCTACTAATGAACCGTCTATTTTTCTTTTGCAGATTGATCTGCATCTACATTGCAAAGACTAGGACGAACAATTAAAGTACGAAAATTGGAAGCCTGAAGACATCGTTGCAAAGTTACCTGAGTTTCTTCGATTTGTTAAACGATTTCAGAGTGTTATTTGAAGTGAACTGCGCCACAGCAATGTAGACGCTTGAAAACTTAATTAGCTTTTTTATAGGTGATACGATGTATCCGACCACAAATTTTTGTTTGTTTTGCGAAAAAATCTGTCACCAGTTCCTTGAGACAAGTCCGCTCGGTAATTTTTAGATCTACTAAATTTTTGTCAAGGTTTACCAAACTTCAAAGGCGCCGCCGTCCTGCCTCGGAGCAGGATAAATTTTT